GGCAACCAGGCATGTACAAGTTCTTCTTGCATCACGGATGGCAAACTTTAAAAAAATAATAATGTTCATAGGCTGTTGCTTGATTTTTTAAAATTATTGTGTTTGTGAATGTAAAAAGTAACTGCGTTGTCTAAAATTATGTCCGCTCCACATCTGGGTTCACCACTGATTTTAGTTAGTTGTTTTTCAACGTTCTGAAAATATATTTTTTTAATACCATTATTCTATTGTAGATCTGTACCGTGAGTACGGACTGTTTCAAAGACTGACCAAACTTGAAGAAGAGTACACAGGAGCTAATATCCTCTTGTTCAAGTATCAGAAAATGCCCGAGGTATACTTGTAGTTGTATGTCGATATCTAGATACATCATTAATTTTATAACGCCAGCTGACATTTGCGGTTACAATTTCTCAGAATTGCCGAAACGTTACTCAGCACAGTTCTTGAACGGCGACTCGCAAAGAATCGTGTCTCCGGATCTAGGGCCCCGCCTTCATAGCCGTTAGTGTGGGGGCACAAGTCCCTGACAAAAGCATTATTTAATACATTTGATATTTTTAACAAAATGTGCCAATTCTATTTCCTTTCTTTCTTTTTTTAAAGTAGGATACATACATATATACAGATATATATATATAATTTATACTTATGGGTTTTTCCTTTCTTTCCTTTTTTTAAAGTAGGATACATACATATATACATATATATATATATATATAATTTATACTTATGGGTTTTTTCTTTCTTTCTTTTTTTTAAAGTAGGATACATACATATATACATACATATATATATATATATATATAATTTATACTTATGTGTTTTTTCTTTCTTTCTTTTTTTTTTTTTTTTTAAAGAATTTTAAAAATTCCGATTAATTGTTTTTCACATTTAAATCTCAAGTAAAATAAGCCATTAAAACAAAATATTACATTTTTGCAAAGAGGTTTGTCTGTTTTCTTTATGTTTAATTAAACATTATAAAACTGATATGAAGATTTTTTTTTTAATATGTTTAGGAAGGATACTGAATTTAATTGAAAAGACTGAAAATTTTGAATTATATTCATTTGAGTGTATTTGTTAACAACAACATTTCATGTCTTTTTCCTAACAATATAAATTAAACTTTCTCAATAGTGCTAAGGATATAAAACTTTAACTGGAACTGAAGAAACAATTTTATTATATCTAATGAGATTATAAAGCAGATTTGTTCCAGTAAAGTTTTTAGCTTTGTTTGTGTTTCTTAGTGAAATGTCCCACCAATTAAAAAATAAAAATCATGCTAAAGTAAAATCCTACATCTTGGAAGGTTTTCTTAATAAATGTTGTAAAGTCTTTGCCTTAACAGAAACACTTTTTTTTTTACATGCATTAAATTGAAAAGTTTTCTTTGATTTATTACAATTTTAAAAATAATCTTTTTGAAATTTATGTCATTATGTTATAGATAATGATAATTTTAAAAGAAGTTACATACATAAAAAATCAATTCAAGTAATGTAACTAAATTTATTCATCATACTAATAATAATAATAATAATAGATCATTCATCGTTACTCTCGCATGATCAGGTAAACACTTAAAATCTTTTTATTCATCAATGATTTTTGTTTTGTAAAACCATTTTCTAGAAGTAAACATGCATTTATGTTGTATTGATGCGTTGTTGTTTTTTTCACTCAGTCATGTGCCATAACTTGTTATAAGGGGACAACGCATCTCCATCAAGTCGGGTCACCCCCATCTCCATCAAATGGGGTCACCCCCATCTCCATCAAATGAGGGCACCACATCTCCATCAAATGGAGGCACCCCCATCTCAATCTAATGGGGGCACCACATCGCCATCAGATGGGGGCACCACATCTCCATCAAATGGAGGCACCACATCGCCATCAATGGTGGCACCACATCTCCATCAGATGGGGGCACCACATCGCCACCAGATACGCGGTGCACCACATCAGGCCTGCCTGTAGATTCAGTGGAAACTTGTTAGAAAGGGATCTTGACAACATTCATGACCCCTTTACTGCAACACAATATATTTTCTGTTTAATATTTGCCAGATGTCATGGAGTTTGTAAAGCGCCCCCACCCCCCAAGGAAGACAATCACCGCAATTTGCAGTCGGCTTATCAAGCTGGCGAAGGATACTTGTGAATACCATAATTTTATTAACACTGCTGTGTTGATCCAGATGTTTTTTTTTAAGTTCAAAGTCAGACAAATTTCAATTAAAATGTGTTCTTTTTAACAAGGAAATAGTAGATCAAGGTTCGTGAAAGCTTGAATCGAAAGACAGGGCAATATGAGAAGAATGTTTCGGCCAAGAGCCTTCCTCAGCAGACAGGATCAATGAAAATACGACAGGGAATAGAAACTAGTTTTTAAAAAACTTAAAGTGTTTGCCATTGTTATTGACAGAAGTTGGATTTATTTAGAGGCTACATAAGCACGTCACATGATCATCCGATGACGATGAGAGTGTTCTGTAGCAGGGGCCTTCACACGCGGCCCGCGGGCCATTTGCGACCCGCAAGACGATATTTTGCGGCCCACTACATGACAGCTAAGGTTAGTGTTAATGCGGCCCGCGCGTTTTCCCCATTCTCATATCTATTATGGGACCCTCCACGACGGTTTCAGTCGAATCTCACCGACTAGTCTAATTCTGATTTTTATTATGTTTGTATAGGTTTGAACGTTGATTATAATGGTGAAAATCTTTTTTAAAATCGGACTGAAAGTTTTTATTTTATAACATTGAATAACATTTTATGAGACAAACATGGTCAAAGTGAGGTTGTGAGAAAAGTTTAAAAATTCAGTTATAAGTGGATAATGCACAACCATAATTTTGTAAATCGTAGCAATCTGACACAGTATCAAAGAATCCCTGTTAAAATTGCCCGCTAAAGTTTATGAGTGAGGGAAATTCCGAACCTGTCACCTTGGTCCCTTTCAAAATAAGGTTTAGTCAAAAAGGCATTTTCTACGATAAAAAAAAATCAAAATTCCTTCTCCCTACAATAGCATCCTTCTTCGCATCAATAATTTATAAATATTGCCTGCTCCTGCCTTCTGTTAGAACACGTTTTAGCATTTAAAGCCCTCATGCAGAAAGTTGGGGTGGTTTTTCCTGTACTAAGTGATCCCAAATGGCTCATGGACTTGGCTTTTCTTGTTGACATTACACAGGAGTTGAATGTACTCAACAAGAAGTTACAAAACCAGGGGTAGCTTGTCAGTGTTGCCTATGACATTGTCAAGGCAATCTGCACAAAACTTGAAACTTGTGTTATAATTCTTAAAGAGATCTCTACCATTTCCCAACATGTTAAGTACTCATGGACTCGGGCACACCATTCAGTAGTTAAGATACGGATGCAATTGCATTTGATCACAGTTTTTCAGACTACAAAACACACAGTCACTTTTCAAATTTTTGCTGAACCTTTCTCCTTCAATGTGGAAGATGCCCCCCCCCCCTCCCACACATTTTTTTTTTCTCTTCAAATGGAGCTGATTGATCTTCAGTGAAATTCTAAGTTCAGGGAGGTGAATGGAAAACGAGACATGCATGGACAATTTACGAGAGCATTTCAAAAATTTTCTTATTAATAAAGGTTTAGCTTATTGTAACAGTTCTATTTCACTAAATTAGTCATCGCTTTTTTTTTCTAGAAACTTGATGCGACCCCGTCTCACTCAGACTCTACCCCCTGTGACCCCGTCTCACTCAGACTCTACCCCCTGCGACCCCGTCTCACTCAGACTCTACCCCCTGCGACCCCGTCTCACTCAGACTCTACCCCCTGCGACCCCGTCTCACTCAGACTCTACCTCCTGCGACCCCCGGATGATTTGTGTTTGACAGAATAACCTACTGTGGACACTAGAAAATTGTTATCCTTATCATGGAGCCTGTTTTGATTCACCCCGTTGCGCTATGACTGTGCTACTGGGATGGCGCGTCATGCTGGATAGATGTAACGTGCATAGAATAATCGCGTGCCTTATCTTCAATGTGGTAAGCATTCAGCTTCTCTCCTCAATATCTTCCTTAAGGTTTTCTCTATACCTTATTTGTATATTATTATTTCTTCTTCTTCAGCTCTTTTATCTATCAGTTAAATCCTGTTTTTTTTTCATCAAGCATTTGCTTTGAAAACATCCTTTCCACCCCATTTGATGGAGATGGGGTGCCCCCGCAACCCCACCAAAAAAAAAAAAAAACCAACCAAAACAACCTTTCTAATTATTCATTCCTTATCTGTTGTCAATAGTGTCATCCTTCATTTTCTCACCGACGTTATTATCTTAAGTGCTCCTTTTGATTCTATATTAGTCGCACTATCTATTATTTCTCTCTTAAACTCTTTCTAGTTTGTTTGTGTTTGTATGTGTGTGTACGGTTATGTGTGTCGCCCTAGAATAGTAGCACAGAACAACCCAGGCATTCCAGAATATTCAGACATACATTATAATAGCTCCGATTCTCATAGTCCTGAATAAATAACGTTATACATTTAATCATGCACACTTATGATCATGTGCATTCTACTCCAATTTAATACTTCACCTAGACGATGATTTAGATTTTGGATTTAAAAATAAATCTTTCAACTTCTTTATGCTCGGGTTCAAGGTCGTATATTTCTAACGATGCACATGACTGTATACAGTATAAAAAGAAAAGAAAAAAAAAACCTGCACCAATGTTCCATTATTTTATCTATTACCTTGGGGAAATGGTAAACATGGATCGACTGATAATCTAAGACGTTACTATTTTCAAATAGTTTTACGTATTTATCTTAAACTTCAATTTAAATTGTATCAGAGAACACAATAGAGAAGTACGGTACTAAGCGTTTGACCGAATGCTGTGCTGCTAGTTTTTAACCCTATTTATTAAAAGTATTTTTAAAAATAGTGACAGGTTCTGGTCCAGAATTAGATTATAATGGAATTGTTTTTTTCCCCAGTAAGCTGTTCACTACCTTCCAAGCCTAACTCCAGTGAATGCTGGACATTTCTTAACTCCTGCGGCTCTGCTTATCTCTAGAAACTGTGATTGCACAAAGTCCTATCTGTTCATAAACTCATGACGGACACCATTGCACTATAATCGTCTTGCAGAGTAAAAGGTAAAAGAATAAAGTTAATAAAGAGAGTGATATATTATATCGTGGAAATGTTTCATTTTATTTCCTAAATATTTCCCTTGGACTCGGAATATATTTTAAATTTTATTTTATTGTATAAATAATTTAAGGTAATTTGCATAATTTAAACTTAAAACGCCTCAAGTTGTTAAATGTAAATAATAATTTCACTTAGCATCAGAGTCCAGTGTTTTATTATTGGATGAGATTCTCAGATAGATTAATAACAGTGAATTTAATCAAGTTTTGGAAGCTAATTTGCATATTTAAAAATTAGTTCTATAAATACGGCCCATGTGCATGTTAATATTGATTGCGTTGACCTCAATTGTAAAAGTTAATTCGATGAGAATATAAAAAAAAATTCGCATTGATTAATTTTCCAATTTTAATGTAGATGTGAGTAATTCGGTTACAAATTAATTCGCAACGTTGTATCACCAAGGTGCCTAACATAAACATGCTAATACTTAACTGTTTTTCATTTGTACTTTTATTTTTTTCTTTATTTTTTCCTTGAGTTTTTACCCACCCCCCCCTCCTCCCCCCAAATACATTAATTCTTTATTTGTTTCAGAAAAGTGTTTTTTAAAGAATTTTTAAATGGCTTATGATCAAAAGAAGCGTTTTCCTGGGGAGTCCGATGAAGCTTTCCCGGCACCATTTATAAGCCCTCCATCACCCGTGACGACCATAAAACCAGGCCAACTGCCCTACACAGAGATCCAGAAGTTCTTTGACGAGGTCAGTTTCATGCAAGGGCGTGGTTAACATTTGATGCACGGTCGGGGCCGGCTCAAGTCACCGGAAACTCGGGCAGTTGCCCGAGGCGCCACGTGCTTAGGGCGCCATCATCCGTAGGGCCATACCTGTGTACGTAATCCATATTTTCAGTACAAGCTGGTGGCCAATAACGTCTTTTAATAAGGTCACCCTAAAATCTTTAACGCTGGCTGTGGCGTGGCTATATTTTGTGCCACCCAGGGCGGTCTTTAATTTTCCGCCCCAACCCCCTCCCCTTTAAAAAATGGAAACTATAAACATCAAATTTACTCCGACCACGAGAATTTTCAAAGGTGAGGCGGATAGATTAACCCCGGAGGGGTCTAGATGACGTAAGTCTTATTTATGGCAGTGGGAATACATGTCGTATGTCCAAACTTGTGCATTATTATCAGGAAAGCGTGCCATCTTTCGAGAAACAACTATATGGAGATTCGTGGCGACAAAATGAGTGGTGACAGGAACACAAAAAAATTCAGGTTTTTAACAAGTGAGCCTAAAACATACCAACGCCTAGTCAAAAAGGATTTGTTTGTGGAGTTATCCTTCCCGATCTTGTACCATTTAACGTGATGCTAGCTTTATTTTAATGTCTTGGACGTCGTTTTTTAGGAAAATGACGGGACTGCATCTAGGGTTCAATGGAGGCGCATTTTATTTTATTTTTATTTTATTTTTTTTAAGGAAGAAGATGTCTATTTTTTTTTTTGTAGACCAACATTTCACAAGCTGAAATAAAGATTTCAATTATCTTGGTGTCCGCATTGATGTGTCTTCTACCCCACCCGCCCGCCATAAGTATTTTCATCAACTACGCCGGTCATGGCGGAAATAACAGTCAATGTGTTTTTTGTTTTTTTTTAAATCCAGGGATACCTCGTTGTTAAAAACTTCTTCACCAGAGATGAGCTTGACTCTTGTAGGAGAGACATCGAGGTGATGGTAGAGCAACTCGCCCAGAAATTGTTCAACACTGGAAAAGTGAAAAGTACGTGTCTCGTAGTTAAGTTGCAAACACTTGTTTTGATTTAAACACAAATCCCAGTATAATGGCTTGAACTATGAGATCACCAATTGTATATATTTATAGTTTATACTCGTAAGGTTTGCACCCATTTAGCGAGCAGTTGCCTTATTTAAAATCTGTGAGAATGATCTAATTTCTTTAGCAAATAATACACGATGCAGCCAGTGGCGTAGCTAGGGTTAGCGGCCCCCGGGGACGGGTCAAGATTTTTGCCAAACCTTTCCAAGAAAAAAAAGTTTAACAATTGGCCGAATAGGCCGCCCCTCAAAATAAAAAATGTCGCCCGAGACCGACCCTACCTCCGACCATCCCCTTGCTACACCCCTGGATGTAGTAGATCAGAATAGCGTTTAATGTAGTCATGTTTAAGAAGCATTAAAGAGAGTGATGGCGACTTTAGAGGGCAACCAGGCATGTACAAGTTCTTCTTGCATCACGGATGGCAAACTTTAAAAAAATAATAATGTTCATAGGCTGTTGCTTGATTTTTTAAAATTATTGTGTTTGTGAATGTAAAAAGTAACTGCGTTGTCTAAAATTATGTCCGCTCCACATCTGGGTTCACCACTGATTTTAGTTAGTTGTTTTTCAACGTTCTGAAAATATATTTTTTTAATACCATTATTCTATTGTAGATCTGTACCGTGAGTACGGACTGTTTCAAAGACTGACCAAACTTGAAGAAGAGTACACAGGAGCTAATATCCTCTTGTTCAAGTATCAGAAAATGCCCGAGGTATACTTGTAGTTGTATGTCGATATCTAGATACATCATTAATTTTATAACGCCAGCTGACATTTGCGGTTACAATTTCTCAGAATTGCCGAAACGTTACTCAGCACAGTTCTTGAACGGCGACTCGCAAAGAATCGTGTCTCCGGATCTAGGGCCCCGCCTTCATAGCCGTTAGTGTGGGGGCACAAGTCCCTGACAAAAGCATTATTTAATACATTTGATATTTTTAACAAAATGTGCCAATTCTATTTCCTTTCTTTCTTTTTTTAAAGTAGGATACATACATATATACAGATATATATATATAATTTATACTTATGGGTTTTTCCTTTCTTTCCTTTTTTTAAAGTAGGATACATACATATATACATATATATATATATATATAATTTATACTTATGGGTTTTTTCTTTCTTTCTTTTTTTTAAAGTAGGATACATACATATATATATATATATATATATATATATATATAATTTATACTTATGTGTTTTTTCTTTCTTTTTTTTTTTTAGAGTAGGATACATACATATATACATACATATATATATATATATATATAATTTATACTTATGGGTTTTTTCTTTCTTTCTTTTTTTTTTACATACTGATGAAAGCATTTGCCAAAACGTTTACATTTGTATTCTGTACAACCATATAATTAAAGCTTAACCCATATTGTTTTTATTCACACAAATTGTCTGTGTCTCATTCATCTACTTTGAAGGCTTCATCGCAGTCCAGCACTCTTTATAATAAGTTCATGTATGTTGCTAGCATGTCTTGGAATACGTTTAGCGGTGAGCTAGACTGGTAGCATCACTTGTCTGTAATGTTCAACTCACATTAAGAATTATCCTAAATTATACTGATGGCATGGCTTGTAATATCTCCCCCCTCTCTCCCCCCACCCACCAAACTATTGTTGCCAGTCCATACAAAAGTTGTGGAGCAACGAGCGCATCCTGAACCTGATGGAACAGATCCTTGGTCCGGAGATAGCCGGACATCCGGTCTGGAACCTTCGCACCAAGACGCCTAAGAGCGAAGCTGTCAACATCCCGTGGCATCAAGGTAAGACCCATGAAAGTGTGGAGGTCAGGTGTCTGTCATACAAGGTATGGAGGTATGGAGGTCAGGTGTCTGTCATACAAAGTATGGAGGTCAGGTATCCATACAAGGTATGGAGGTCAGGTGTCTGTCATACAAGGTAAGTATGTCAGGTGTCTGTCCGTCATACAAGGTATGGAGGTCAGATGTCTGTCATACAAGGTATGTAAGTCATATGTATTTCATCATTCACGATATGGAGTCAGGTCTCTGTTATTCATAAAAAAGTGTATAGACCAGATCGATGTCAAAGAGATACAAGATATATAAAGACCAGGTCAATGTCAGTCACACAAGATTTAAAGAGCAGGTCTCTGTCGTGTCAGCTATGCATGGTAAAAAGAAGCTAGGTGATCTCTTGCACTGAACGCCTTAAGCGCTTTCTAATACTAAGGGGAAGTAATTTATTTTGAATTAATTATTGCTAAGTTTGTCTCCCCTATTCCAAAGTTAAAACTGTCGTTAATTCATCCCAATCATGACCATTAAAATCCACGAGTATGTGATTTGTATGCGCAGACAAAAGTAGTATCGTTCGTTACAGACAGTGGCTACTTCAGTAATGAGTCCTACGATCACATGATTGCGACCGCTTGGATACCATTCTTGGACGCCACAGAGGAAAACGGCTGTATGGAAGTGAGTTTTGTAAACACTATAAAAATCTCGTGGTCAGGGGCGTAGGAAGGGGGTGCAGAAGGGGTGTTCCGGCCCGGGCGTCACTTTTTCTCCTTATACAGAGGGCGGGGTTGCATTTTCGGTCAGCTGCAGTGTTGTTGTTTTTTCGTAGAAGGTGTAGGGGGCGACAAAAAGCTTGGCCCGCCTCTGACGGCACTAACCCTCGCTGCGCAGCTGCTGATGGTCATTTTTGTCTTAAACTATGGAGATCCTTACAACTGACGCTCTCGACTCATTTTGTTTAAAAATCGTCAATAATCAACCCCGCCACACACAATCACACACAAACATGCACACACACACACACACATGTAATTCCGATTAATAACTAACATTTGCAGCTCATGGTTTTCATTTGGGCAAAATTCTGAGCATTTTGACGTTCGAAAACCATATGTTAAAATGTTCATTCTCAATTAGTTTTTACATATCAGATTCGTTTTTTGTTCTTTGTTGTTGTTTTTTTTTTTTAAATTAATTCACGGACTGATTAAATTCACAGTAACTTCGCATGGTCTAGCTAAAAGTTCTGATAAAAGACAAGACATCTCCTTTTCACCCAATTATTTGTTGTTGTGTGCAGGTCTATAATTTATTTGTTGCTGTTTAAATGTGTATTAAAAAAAATCGCACAAATATAAACAAATATCTCGTTAACGCTGAAATCCACAGATGGCCAAGTTCGGACACAGGTCTGGTAAAGTGGCCGTACATGAATGCTGTGCTGGACCCACGTGGTACATCATGCTAGCCCACGAAGTCATGAGGGACGCTCTCGGTAGGACTGAGTGATCGGGCACGTGAATGAATGGGGCAGTCGATGAAATGATTGGGCAATAAAGAAACAGATGGAAAGACTAATGAACTGGTGTATGTACAGGACGACAGATGGAATAATTGATGAAGGGACGTGAGCGTGTGTAACTATTGATTGGTTGATTGAGAAAGGGATATAAATACATTTACCTGATTTTAATATATGGGGAGGGGTAAGAGATAGAGATCAAACGAAAGAGAGGAGGAGTGAATGTATGCGTGTGTGTAAGGGAGACAGAGATAAATCTCGTCTCGTCATTTTATGATCACATCAACCAGGTGTGGACCTGGAGAAGCACATCATTCCTGAACCAGTGCCCTATGGGGGTTTCATCCTCTTCAACAACTTAACACCCCACAGAAGGTCGGTACCTTTATTTTAACCCCACTCGCTTTTCAAAGTTGATACCTATAATATTTTACCCCATAAAATAGGTACCTATATTTTACCCTTTAAATTTGAAACTTATATTTATACCTTAAATTGGTACTAATATTTTACCCCCCCCAGGTGAAACCTATAATTTACCCCTAAAAAGTTAGTACCCATATTTTACCCCCCTAAAGTTGGTCCTCATAGTTTACCCCCCCCCCTAAAGTTGATACCTATATTAAAATTTCGTACCTGTATTTTACCCTTCTAAAGTTGGAAATTATATTTTACTCCCTAAAGTTGATACCTATATTTTATCCGCTTAAGTTGTAACCTATATTTTAACCCCCTAAAGTTGGTACCTATATTTTACCCCAATAAAGTTGATACCTATATTTTACCAACGAAAGTTGTTATCTATATTTTACCATCTACAAAAAAAAAAGTAACTACATACAATGCCCTGGAGTTGGGACAAATTAGTCATCACTTACATCAAGTAAATTACTCGAACCTGCATGGTCCTCCACAGCTTACCAAATAACTCCTACCTCCATGGTCCTCTACAGCTTACCAAATAACTCCTACCTCCATCGTCCTCCCCAACTTACCAAATAACTCCTACCTCCATGGTCCTCCACAGTTTACCAAATAACTCCTACCTCCATGGTCCTCCACAGCTTACCAAATAACTCCTTCCTGCATGGTCATCCACAGCTTACCAAATAACTCCTTCCTGCATGGTACTCCACAGCTTACCAAATAACTCCAACGACGTCCGCTGGAGTGTTGACCTAAGATGGCAGTCCCCAAAGCTTCCCTACGGATTCTTCGGCATTCAAGATGGCATCCTTTTCCGGTCACCTGGTCAGCCTGATCTCAAACCCGATTGGAAAGCATTCTTCTCGGTCGACCGGAAGCTTGTATGGCAGCAAAGGTTCTCGAAGGAGGTTGGTGAACCATCTAACTAAATTATATATAGATGTTAATAACTATGTTTACTTAGATCTTAGTAAAAGACGGTAGATGTAAAAGACAGAGAAAAATTACTTCTACGTTTTGAGAATCCATTACTTAACTTTAAAAAAAATAATAAAATCGACATGGATAGTTCGAAATCTCTATACAAAAAATTTCTAGCTACCTCAGTGTTCTCATTGGAATAAGTTAGCTTACGATAAGATAAACAATTGGCTGAATAAATTTCATTTCTAAATATGTTCCGACATTACTCAGTCCTTCTTGCCAAATAATATCCAATTTCCGTCAACACTTTTCCTTTAGTGTCAGATCGTTGAGGTTATTTTACCTGGTCACCAAAATGTCGTGATATCTCAAATAATTTTTTTTTTGGTTGTATTTATTGTACATTCTAATTTTATTTTAATAAAAACTCGTGGGACTTTTAAGGTTTTTAAACAAAAAATTGTTTCATATCAACCTAGACTGCATGATGTTATTAGAAAATATAATTTTGAAATCTCGTGTGCTTCGTTTCCAGGGTGACGACGCCAACAACGAATTCGACACAAGAATAACTGGACCCTGGATAGGAAAGTGGGAAGTGGTCAATCATAACGCGCACACTGACCTCTTCACAAAGATTACTTCCGGCTGAGGTCCCTACCGATGGGCCTGGGATTGTGTCATATTTTGCCCATTTTTTAAAAGACTGATCTTTTGTTACGACTTAGCACTTGTATACGATAACCAATGAAAGTAACTATATATGCGTTTCTACTCACGAAGACAATAATCATACGGACTGTCTACTAACTCCATAACTTAAGAAAAAAAAGTATATAGATAGACTGACCATTATTTATATAGTGTCCACTAATATAGACTGGCCATTAATAATATACTGACCACTGATAAAGACTGACTACTGATATAGAGTGACAATTAATATATACTGTCAACTAATATAAACTATCCACTAATATAGGCAGATCACTGGTATAGACTGACCAAAAATACAGAATGACCATAAATTAAATGTACTGTATTTCTCAAAGAACTTGCATTACTGACACACACAAAACTGCCTTGCTGTCACAGCAAAATGACTTGCATATTATGATTATGTCCCTTTTATGTCACCCTCACGGCTTTCCTCTCTTTCTCTCTCACACTATCTCCCTCTCACCGTTATGCCCTTCCCTCTTCCTCTGACAATATTTCCCTCCCAACGTTACATATCCTTAAACTTTTGATTTTTTATATTTAAGATAAATGCTACTTGGACCATAAAGTCAAAGTCCCACTTAAGATCATAAAGTCAAAGCCCCGCTTTGGACACTAAAGTCAAAGTCCCACTTTGGACCATACATTCAATATCCCATTTGGACCATAAAGTCAGAGTCCCACTTTGGACCATACATTCAATATCCCACTTTGGACCATAAAGTCAAAGTCCAACTTGGAACATAAAGTCCAAGTCCCACTTGGACCATAAAGTCAAAGTCCAACTTTGGACCATAAATTCAAAGTACCACATGGTTATTCACATATGAATACATTCTCCTAAAGAGTGTCTTATTTTTGTGCATTGATAAAAATGGCAATCATTTGATTGGTGGGTGAATTGTGACGTCAAAAGACGCGCCAAATAAGAATGGGTCGCGCGCGCTTCGAGTGGTAAACAATGTGTAAATAGGAAATGACGCATCATTTTTTTAAAATGACTATGATAATGTAATCTGTGAGTTGCCATTTAATTCTGTTATGTCCTCATGTGTCACGTTTGCTGTACATCAGGTTAGTGTGAGTGTTGGCGGAGTCATAATGGAAGCACACATCTAATTTCAGATTGAAAAAATGAACTAAATAAAAAAGGGAAAAAAAAGCTTTGGAACATGAAAGACGACTAACTATGTTGATGTTTTTGGTTTTTTTTCTAAAATGAATAAGTCTCTTAGATATATAATAAATGTACAAAGTAGATGACCAGTGGTCATGTGCAAAGTAGATGACCAGCGGTCATACACTTGTTTTTTTTGGCCAATCCGACTCCAAAAAAAATCTGTATATGAATATCAAACGTACAGAGTACAGGTGCATGGTTTCAAACGCCACCCCCCACCCTCCACCCCCACACACACCAACCCCTTTTCACCCTCACATCCCCTGTGATCACACGCCGTCCGTTACCTAACCGCCATTCAATCTCATTAATCAGCCAACCTCGTTAGCATTCGGGGCGATGCCGTGATGACAGACATGCAAAACAGCCAACCGCCGTGACCATAGCCCACAGGTTCGGCCGGTGTTACCACGTCAACTGTAACGAGCCGTGTAGATAGCAACTTGTCTCGGGGCGTGAACGGTGCTCGTTAAGATACGTGGAAATCCTTCAAAGCCACAACTGTGAGGAGACGGGCCCTTTTTGGGCCACGCCCGGCACGCGAGCGTGTTATCGGGCAGGCTAACTGTGAACAGCGGTTCTCCCCTGAAGACACGTGGATTGACCGAACCGCTGGGGATTGACCGAACCGCTGTGGATTGACCGAACCGCTGTGGATTGGCTGAACTGATGTGGATTGGCTGAACCGATGTGGATTGACCGAACCACTGTGGATTGACCGAACCACTGTATGATTGACCAAAACCGTTGTGGATTGACCAAACCACTGTGGATTAACCGAACCACTGTGGATTGACCGAACCACTGTGAATTAACCGAACCACTGTGGATTGACCGAACCACTGTGGATTGACCGAACCGTTCCTTGGCACTAACGTTGTAATGTTTATTTGTGTTTTTATTAAACAAGCCCTAAAAACAAAGTTTTTCGTTTGAATCCTTTATAAAATGGAATATCGAGCAATGTGGGGTGGGGCCAAAATTTTTAAAAGATTAAGCCAGCCAGC